CTTACACACACACACTAACAGCACCCTTACACACACACAGCACCCTTACACACAAACACACTAACAGCACCCTTTCACACACACACACACACACACACACACACACAGCACCATTACACACACATACAGCTCCCTTACACACTGTGCCTTCACACACACACACACAGTGCCCCCCCCACACACACATCAGTATATGTGTGTGTATATATATATATATATATATATGTATGTATATATATATATATATATATATATATATATATATATATATATATATATATATATATATACACACACACACACACGCAGCGTGTGTGTTTGTGCTTTAGGGTGCACACCCTTATACAATAGGCTGCGCACGCCTATGATGCCATGTCATTCTTTAACACCTATAAGACTGCCTAACCGGACAACTGCTTATCAGAGAAAGAGAAACGAGTTATGTGCGTGAGCTTAGACATGACTGTGAGAGAGGAAGAGCCGCTGAGAGCCTTCCAAGGATTTTAACATTTGATTTGTTTTCATGTTTACAACTCTATTTGAGAAATAATAAGGGCTTTACAAATACTAACATTCTCTGTATGCTGTCCGGCTTATGCCTGGTAGATCCCACAAACTCAAGGAGCTTGAGAGTGGCACACAATCCACTCAAATACAATGAGTTTGACACAATAATATTTTATCTGATTATATGTTTTTGAATGGTGTATAGATGTTCAGCACCAGATGTATTTTTTTCCTTAAAGGTTCAACACAAGGAATTATAAAAGAACACTTTATATAAGTATCATCAAGTCTGTGGGAATTTGTTTTGCGCATCAACCTTTTGGGTTGAAAAACTATTTTGAGGGGGCGGGGCCTGATGCCATGCTGGCCGCGTGTCAGAACAGCTCCTGACAATTCTGGCCTTTATTCAATGATTAATCAGAATTAACTCTCATCTAGGGTTAACAAATACCGATTGTAACAACAGTTCTTACCAGAGACAGGTGCTATGAAAATCCAGAAGAGGAATTGGAGACATGAGGCCTACTCGGGCTGAGCGCGCAGTGGACGGCCGCCGCTCTGCTCTTGTGCCTGATCGCATTGGCTCCTAGAACACCTCTTCTCTAGTCTAGCCGGCTGCTAGACACAGGCTAAACTTCATAAAAGACAGTGGTGCATTCGTCTGGGCCCCTTGGTTCCTAGCGGATAGCCTTTTGTGTTGCTCTGTATGGAATTACTTTAGAAGTACACACCCAATGGCATTACTGTTCTTAATGGCATGTTTCTCATTTTAGGCAGTAAGCATTTGTTAAGAGACAAATGTACTAGTGCGTTAGTCTTGAAATACGTTGTTACAACTCTCTCCCGTCATACCCTCAACACAATCTGTACTTCACTGCCTAATTACTTTTACTTACCATAAAATGAGGCCTTTATGTACTGAGCGTGATATACTATGTTTACCAAACATAGTTTAAATTCAGAGTTGCCACGTGTTTGTTGCATGTATACTATATGTCGCCACTGTTCATTCTGTCATTATGCTCTGGGCCTCAATAAAAATCTAATTGACAAAAAGAAAAAGAATTTTGAGACCTGAGCAGGGATTTATCGAAGTGCAAGCTACTGAGTTCTCATATTATCTGTTATTTCCTTGCTGCCTATATTCTAAGCAGACTACTTAAAATCACCTATGCTCAGCAAACAAATATAGGGATTCAGTTCCATCATATGGTCATATTGTGCTAAGCACACCAATATCAGTAAGTTCTACACTAACTCCAGGAGACAAATAGTGCTAGTAATAAATTAAGCTAACGTGTATTTAAATAATCTGTTGTAAGAGCACTGTGAATATATATAATGCAAAATTATTGTGATGAACGCAATTTAAAAAAATGCATATCCTTTTGTCCCCCTCATCCCCCCCACCAACAGGGGGTGGCTAAAGAGGCTAGTTCCACTGCTAAAAACAGAAAAAAAATTTAAAGCTCTTCAGGAAAACTACACAGAATTGAAAGAAGAAAAACTAACCACATTTTTATTTTTAGCTTATTAGCTTCAATTTAAGCTTAACTTGTTAAGCTGCCTGGAGCGTCCCTTTAAAACAATACAGTGTCAAAATTAAACAATTAAAGTGATAGTGCTTGGATGTATAAACTCACAATGCATATTATATATCTGCTCTATAACAAATTATAATTAAAGTGACATTACTATCCAAAACCACATCAAATATATACCTGTGGTCACCTCCAAATGGGGCCTCTGAAGGTGGGGGGCTGGGCGGGATGCTTAATCCCAAAGGGAATCTGGTCTAAATTCTAAACTTACACAGTAAAGACAAAAATAAATTGGAAACACACGGACATTTTGCAAGAATATTGCTGCTGTAGTGACCAAAATTCATACATAATACAGATTAAGGAACTGCGCACGCAAAAATACATTTGAAAATGTTTTAAGGCTACTTAAAATTACCTATCTCAGCAAACACATATGGGGATTCAGTTCAACCATATGGTTATATTGTGTTATTCCATTTGAAAAAGTATTTTTGATGAAATGCGTTATGGAAATTTGATATTGTGTATTTTTGTATTAAAAGTAAATTTGGTCATTTGTTTGTGTCAATTATCTTTTTTTTACACATAACTTTTTTTATTTATTTTTACTCTGGCTTGAAGATTTTATTAATGTATATTTATTATTATAAAAAAAAAAAATACTTGCTCCTTGCACCCCTCACACTCTGCAACCCTCACACACACACATTGCATCCCTCACACACAGCACCTCTCTCAAACACAGCACCCCTCACACACACACAGCACCCCCTCACCCACACAGACACCACCCCTTACACACTGCACCCCTCATACACAGAACTCCTCACACACACTATCCCCCTCATAAACACACTGCGCCCCTCACACACATACACACACAGCACCCATCACACACAACACCCCTCACAAACACACACACACTATTATTATTTTATTATTTATATAGCGCCATCACATTCCGTAGCACTGTACAGACATATAATTTTAACCAGACAATTGGACGAACAGGAACATAGAGGTGGAGGGCCCTGCTCAATGAGCTTACATTCTAGATGGAGTGGGGTATAGTGACACAAATGGTAAAAGTAGGGATACGAAGTAGGTTGTTATAAAAGTATTCATTGAGGGCTTAGTAGGTAAATTTTTGACAGTTGCAGGAGAGGAGTCATGGGGGATGAGGGATAAAAACCTGCTAACAGTTTAATTGATATGCTTTCTTGAAGAAGTGTGTTTTCAATGATTTTTTGAATGAGTAGAGACTGGGTGAAAGTCTTATGGAGACGGGACTATGCACCCCTCACACACACAACCCCTATTCAGCAGCCTGTATGTATTCAGCAGTCTGTGTATGTATTTAGCAGTCTGTGTGTGTATTCTGCAGACTGTGTGTGTGTGCATTCAGCAGTCTGTGTGTGTGTGCATTCAGCAGTCTGTCTGTGTGTGTGTATTCAGCGGACTGTGTGTATGTATTCAGCAGTCTGTCTGTGTGTACTCAGCAGTCAGTGTGTATATTCAGCAGTCTGTGTGCGTGTATTCAGCAGTTGGTTTGTGCATGTATTCAGCAGTCTGTGTGTGAAAGTCTGTGTCTGAATGTGTTCAGCAGTCTGTATCTGTATTTAGCAGTCTGTGTGTATGTATGTATGTACTGCATTTGTTGGAGGTACCAGTAAATATAAGCTTCATTTTATTGATAATTTACATTTTTATTCCTGTGAATTGTTGTCTAGGCACAGCCCTAGTGCACTGCTTTGCCTGGGGGCCTATAATGCTGTTAAGATTGCACTGCTTACAGCCAGCACACTGCGTAAATATGGCACAAAGCACACACACACACCACAAAATGAGAAGCTATGTGGGGCAGAGGGTGAGACACTCAGGGTATTTCATAAAACTTGTTTGTTTGTTTTTGTAAGGTAAATCCATATGGCAAAAATGAGGCACAAATAGCCATTTTTCAACTGGAGTTAGAGAATTTTAAGATCAGCTTTTTTGCAGTTGTTCTATTCATATTTAATTTATTAAAGTTCAGAGTTTAGCAAATTGCCCTGTCAATGTCCAGGGCTCTAGACAGGGGGCTCAGATTTAGTAACTCATAGTATTATGAGTCAGGACAAGTAGATTGGGTTACTGATTTAGTCCCTTGGACAAGTACATAAAGTATATATGTTTTCCAAACCCCTGCTTATGGAATATGGCAAAACATAGCAAATTGAAGCAGTTCGAAGTTCTGCCTTTTTCCATATTTTGCCAAAAATTGATGAGTCAAACAGGTCTGTATTTTGTCTGTGGATAACTCTTGATTGCTTCAGTTAAATGAACCATAATAAACATTACATTTGAATAAAATATTCATACTTGACAGTCCTGCTTCAAATTCACAGAAACAAAAACAACCAAAATAAAATACGCTTCCTAGCTAGCTGTAGGTTAAATAATGTCTTTACCAAATTCCTCTTTTGTATTAATTTTATTTTGTAGTTCACATTAGGTGCCTGAATTATCCTATAAAGTATCCTTCAATTTAAAAGAATACAGAGAAAAATAAAAAAGATTCCCCAAAAAACAAAAAAAAAACAAAAAAAAAAAACCCCAAGCTTTAAATGAGTCAGGAATATGTTTTTTTTTTATTACTACTACGAAGAATAACAATCAAAAATAAAATAAACACATATATATCTATTTCAGAGAAACATGAAGGCAATGCAAAGTCTATCTGTATGAACAGTCATTGACACAAGGAGTGGGTGGTGTTATTACACAAACAAGGTCTCACAACAGAAGGCATTCCCAAGCCGTCCCCATGGCAACCACACTGTGTATACATCCATGTTAACACAGGCGTAGGTGGGGACAGAGTATATGATAGACACGGCATATGGCCAATCAGCGACTTCAATGGCTCACCAGTAGCCAATGACAATAGATAATTTTTGGCCATAGGGTTGGACCTGCTGTACCTGTTGAATGAAAGCTGCTACCATAGTTGCAGGTTAAAGCGACAGTTTGCTGCAAGAGGATCCCCCACCCCAGCTATAAGGTGATATTATTTATAAGATTAACTAATTATATTATAGTCACTCATTATGCAGTTTAATTCACATGTGTCTAATCTGTCAGGTTTTACATGTGTTACAGTGTAAAAGTCTAGAAGTATAGTGGGAAACATCCAGTACAGTATAACAACATGGATTAAACAGATATCAACTCATTTCACAACTCTGGAATGTAAAGGATAGCGATTCAGAACTTTCTCCTGCCTTGCCCTTCAACTCCCATCATGGTCAGCCAGCCAAAACTGGGTTTGTTGGGCACAGTGTGATATAACATTACATTGTATTAAAACAAACATTCCAATTCTGGAATGTAAAGAATGGAGATCAGAACCTTCGCCTGCCTTGCCCTTTAACTCCTGTCAGATCAACTAGCCAAAACTGGGTTTGTTGGGCACAGTGTGATATAACATTACATAGAAACATAGATACATAGATTGTATTAAAAGGGTTAATATGAGATCAGTTACTTACAACTATTGTCTAAATGAGGTATTATGGTGTATATTTTTATGTTTTTTTTTTTTTATCCTAACAGGGTTCAGTACACTGGTAATTTACACTGCTAATTGTAGCAAATGAAAATACTTGTAGCAAAATTTGGCTTGATTTTGGCACCAAAAAAAATCTACAACTCAGTTATAGTTGCAGTTTAAGGATTTTAGCCAGAATTTTGTTTTTTTAGATTTCATTTTCCTACAATTCAGACTATAGCGAATAAGTCTTTTGCAATTTAGTTTTAATTTCTCTACAGTGGTGCATAACAAATATACCTCATATAGTATTATTGTTATTAGTATTTATATAGGGCAAACATATTCTGCAGCGATTTACAATTAAAGAATGGGGGTATCAGACATTGAGTAATTGACATACAAAATATTAACACAGACAAGAGCTGAAGAAGGCGTGACTTGTTGACGTAGATTTAGTGTTGCCACCATCAAATCAACTTAATGAACCCATCAGAGAATTTAGCAATGGCGCTATTATTAGATATGTTGAATATGGCACCATGAGAAGATTTAATTTATATTAAAAATGACCTGCCATCAGCATTTTTAATAAAATAATTTTATAAAACTTAGCTATTTTCTTTTTAAAAAGGATACACAAATTCACACAACCATTTAAAAAAACACATGCACATTTTCAGATCGAAAGCAGAAAACTCTACAGTTCTTTTACAGAACACATATCAAATTTTAATTCACTTAAAGGATAGGCTCTAAAATTTAGATTTGTAGATGGCTACTCATAAATTGCATGTAAGAGAAATTTTAGAAGCTTATCGCCGTGGAGAATGTCACCTTAGGTAACAGGGCCTAGTACAGCATAATCTCATTGCCTTAATCTAAGAATGAATGTCTCTGCCAGAGAGAGAAGAAAGTGAATTCTCCAAATCTAAGACTTTGCAACTTCATATAATGGGGCATCCAGTGGAGCACAACACTCAATTACCTATGTAGCCACATCCAAATCAGTCTGAAAGAAATAGAAGGGATTGTTATCAATGTTACTGATTTAAATATGCTGATGCTTTGACGGCATGATACTGGTTAGGTGCACCATAGAGCATAAACAGTTGTGTAAGAATAGATAGACGGAAGAATAGGGTGGTCCAGGATTGCACTTTATTATGTTAAAGGGATACTGCAGTCAGCACAAAAACTTTATCTAATTGAAGACTTTATGGGCCTTGGGGGTCCTGGCACAGTCTTACATTACGGGGTTGACACTGGTAGACTATCACTCGCCGCCCGTTGAGAGGAATGCCCACTGAGAGGAAACAAACATATGTTTCAAAATCATTTCTTTCAACAGGTGGCCAGTGATAGGCTTAGAGTATCAGCTGATCGTCTCAGCCTATCAAAAACATTGCCTGTGCTGAAGGAGTAAACCAAAGAGCAGTTAAGTTAACTTAGGGATTAAACCAAAACAAATCAGTGTAACCAGTGGCGTACCTCACTCCAAGGGGCCCGGCCGCAGCCACAACCCCTAAGACCGCGGGCCGCCTGGATACCTTCTGGGCCGGTGCAGGAGGGGAGAGCTGTGCCGAGCGATCTGTCAGGAAATGCTCACTAAGCAAGCACTTCCTGTCAGACGGGGATGTTGTCTCCCATGTTCCCCCTGTCATGAGGGGGCTCAAGAGGTGGCCTGCTGGACCCCCGGCAGGCGGCTGTGTTCCCGGCAGAGGCGGTGAGGGAGCTGTGTTCTCCCTGCTCTGCTCCCTCGCACGCCGTTTGCTGATGCCGGGAGCCGGAATATGATGTCATATTCCAGCTCCTGGCATCAGTAGACAGCCCGCGCGGCATGATGGAGCAGAGCAGGGAGAACACAGCTCCCTCTCCATCTCTGCCGGGAACACAGCCGCCCGCCACACTGAAGCCCCACTGGACCCCAGGGACAGATCCACGCCAGTTCTCCAGGTAGGGAGGATGGGTGGACATTTTTAAATTTAAAAAATATGAATAATTTGTGTGTGTCTGTGAGTGCATGTGTGTGTGTCTAAGTGTGTGTGTGTCTGTGAGTGTCTAAGTGGGTCTGTGAGTGTATGTGTGTGTGTCTATTATTGTATGTGTGTGTGTGTCTGTGAGTGTGTGTCTGTGTTTGTCTGTAAGTGTCTGTGTGTGTATATGTCTGAGTGTGTGTCTCTGTGTGTCTGTGAGTGTGTGTGTGTCTATACATGTCTGTGTGTGTATCTATGTGTGTCTGTATGTATGGGTCTATGTGTGTGTCTGTATGTATGTGTGTGTCTGCATGTGTATCTGTCTGCATGTGTGGGGGCTGGGACATGTGGGTGGGCGGGGACGCATGGGAGGCAGGGACATATGGGGTGGGAGGTAGATGTATGGGGGGCCCCAGGGCAATTTTAGCACCTGGGCCCCGTGGTTTCCAGTTACGCCTCTGAGTGTAACTCCACAATTTTATAATGGTTTAACCACATAAGATAGGACAGCGCCCAGGACATCCAGCCCTCATAACAAATTCAATGAGATGAAGTTGGTTTGAGGGCTGGAGTGTTCCTTTAACTCTCTTGCCATTGAGCAGCCAATTGCACTGAAAGAAGCAACAAGAAACAAGCCACCCCACACTCTGGTTCCATCTAATGATCCTGCATGATTAAGGCTTGAAGGAGCCCAAACATCGCACTACTGAGGTTACTTACCCTGTTGTAAACACTGTGTGTGACAATGGCATCCTGGAGTGCTGACCATTTTTCTGCTTCTCTTGCACTGTAAGAGTCATTGGTTGACGGCACAACTCATTGGTTAATTAGACCAGGTTTTTTTAAATGCCTACAATTTATTTTTTCTGTAGTGCTGAAGAATCAAGACACATACTTAGAGGTAGATCTGGAATGTTTTGAACTTATAACTCCCATCATCGTCACCCAAGCAGAGCATAGTTGATAGTGATGGGAGTTACAGTCCACAGCATCTCCAGTGTCCATATTAGGTTATGGAACTGTCCACAAGGGTTATGAGTTTCCTTGTACTCTAAGGACATGGAGTGACAGTGTAGGTGAGCTTCCTGTGACTGCATTAAATGGAAAAATGATTTTCCAGAGGAATAATACAGCAACTTCAGCGCAGGCACAATAATTGCTGTGATGAAGAACAATAGATCTTCCTATAGAAGAGTTCTCCTGCTCTCCCCCTGCCATTCACGTCACCATAAAGGCCTGTGCTGTTGGCATTGTCTGCATTGCAGAGAACCGATTGACAGGCGGGGAAGGAATACTATATATATATATATAGAGAGAGAGAGAGAGAGAGAGAGAGAGAGAGAGAGAGAGTTTCTTATCAATTCTGTTGGCACAATTTGCAGATTACATTTTATATAGCTTGAATTGAATTTTATACTGAAAAAAGAAGTAAACATGTGATAGAAATATTATACATGCACACACATAACTTAGCTTGAAACATAAACAAGTATACATATGAAAAAACATCTGCTAAGGAGGCATTTGAATAAAAAATGTCCACGGAGCACTCTCCAGCTTTAGTAAAACTACAAATCCCATGATGCTTAGCAGTCGTTATATGTTAAAAGGTCTGTGTCTGACACTGACTGACCATGGATGGATTTTCTGTTCCTCCATTGCCATGTAGAATAATTTTAAGATTTACTACTGCTCTATAGAATTATCAGATTTATTTGTTTAATCTAAATGTGCAGTCCTAGCCATGAATCGCTAACTCATTAACGTTGCTTTGCGAAAATAACAGGTATTTCAGGTACGCAGAAGCCTAAATAATGTTTAACCAGACTGATCTATTCGACAGATGTTTAATTAATGACAGACATAACTATGGAACCTAATAGAAAACTGGGATTTAACTTGTATACTTATCAGACTGAAAGACAAAGCATTCATATCCAATTCAAGTTTACCATTAAATCAGTAAATATAAGGATGATCTACATATTATGTGTATGGGGGGAGGAGATGTGGCTGTACAAGTTAATCCATTAATGTGGAGTCAATCTACAAATTACAGTTTTATTACTTTGGTTTATTTGCCATTTAGATGACTATCACTCACTGTAAATATAGCATCTAGTTTTAAATAAAGTGGTTATTGTCAAGCTAAAATAAAATTTGTAATTTAATAATCCATATTTACATTTGGGAAATATTAATATGTTAATATTACACCAAAATGTATAAAAAAAAAAAAAAAAAGACTCTTCTATAAAGTTTTCTTTTCAAATAATTTTTATTAAAGTTTTTTTTTTTGTATAACAAATGATAATAATACAAACATTGTATTAGGGGTAGGAAAGGAGGGGTAACATGGAAATGGGAAGGGGTATCCATCCATCAATGAAATAAACATATTAAAGTAGAAGGCAAAAGGAAAAATGTTTTACAACAATGCACTTTAACAATAAATATATCAAAGACCATAAACTGTTTTGATTTTTTTCTTCCCATTTATCCCAGTTGTATTTTAGTATTGGGAAACCATGCATATTGGCTCTGTGTGATAGTTCATGTGCCTTATTTTCTAAAATCAAATTAAAAACTTCTCTGAGAGATGGCACATTTTGAGACTTCCAATGTCTAGGTAAACAGGATGTAGCAGCGATCAGAATGTGGCCTATGATTATTTTATCTGATCTATTAACAGACTCCGGGAGTTTTTTAAATAAGGCTAGTTCCGAGGTTAAGATACTAATGGTTCCGTTCACTTTAATAATCAGATCGTGGATCATTTTCCAATAATTAATTAACTTGGGGCAAAACCACCAGATATGAGCCATATTGCCCACTCCCCCACAGTCTCTCCAACACCGGTCAGAATACATATTGTTCATGTTATGTAATCTAGACGGAGCCAGGTACCAGCGATATAAGATTTTATAATGATTTTCAAAATGGTCGGTGCAGTACGAAATGCCTTTCAAACCTGTAAAGAAACCGAACCATTCTACTAAATCGTACTGGGCACCCAACTCCGTCTCCCATGACAGCATATGTTTTCACTGAGTCCATCAATTTCCTAAAAAACTGCAACTGACCGGTGTTTGGAAAATACATGTTCACAATAGTATATTCAATAGTATTGAGTGATCCTATCCATATTAAATACCTCCCGTCATCGTCCGTTATAACTTTGTTTGTCAAGCATGCTACATTCCTGTGAAAAAAAATCGAAGTACCTCTAGACTTGGATTTATAAGTGCAATGGTATTGAACTGGGAAAAGCTTTGACATGATTTTATGGTCTTTATCATCTTTAAAATGTGTTTCCTGTACACAAATCACATCTGATTCGTTGGATTTTGCTTCTTTGAATAATAATCGTCTCTTGTGGGCGGTGTTCAGGCCTCTCACGTTAAATGACATATATTTTAAGACCATGGTTTATAGAACAGTAATAACTGATAAAGGGTAAAGGAACATTCAATCTTGTGAGAGTCCCAGCCACCACCTTCCAAGAGAGAAACATGCAAGTCCAACAAAGCTATTAAAGCAAACTCAAGCTGTGTGCTTGTGTGTACAGGAATAATGAGTAAACAGATGATTACAATTTGCTGATGCCACGTATTATGCATTTTTGTATGAAGCATTGCAGTGTTTCGTGGTCTAAAAACATTTCTACTGAACTTTAAATGATGAATGGACAAAAAATATAAAAAAATAAAAAAGGGGAACAAAAAACTTGGATATATACCCCTATCAGGGGTGAAACAAAAACAGTGAAAGAGGGCCATGAGGGAGAACAAAAAAAGTTTCTCCATCTCAGGGTGTTAGGCCCAGGTTGGGGGGAGAGAAGGCTACTGGGTGCAGGGGGAGCTAATGTAGGTAGTAAAAAAACAAAAAGCAACTTTTTAAATATGACAATTGAAAGGGTAAAAAGCACAGAACAATTAAAAAAAAAAAAATATATAAAATAAAATAAAAAAATAATAAAATTAAATAAATATGAAATTATATATAAAAAAAATAAAAAAATATTTTGATTGTATAAGTATAGAAAGTTTTAAATAGAAGGATCAGTTTCTAAAATAAACCGAAAAAGGCACAGGACAAATAACCGTTAGTGGAAGAACTCAGAAGTCTGTCATAAAAAGGAGAAACAGATCAAAATTCAAAGTAATCCCGATAAATCGCCGGACTGGAGCAGGACTCAATGATGACCATAGAAAAGGAAGACTATGTCTCTTTGAGCTGAGATCTCAGGAAGTGTCTGATTTGCTTCTCTTGCTGGCCTGAACAGGAGTAGATGGCGAGAGTCTATGAGGCGAAACCCGACGTCCATTCATAGTATTGATGAGTTCCATTCCTTCTTCAGGCGACGTGACTATAAAATTCCGACCATCCATGCGGAAAAGGACTTTAACCGGGAATCCCCATCTATATCTTATCCCTCTTCTTCTTAGCTCCGCAGTGAAAAGTTGAAATTCCCTGCGTCGCTTCATTGTTTGAGCAGAAAAGTCTTGAAAGACCTTCATGCTGCTGTAATCTCCTGTGAGACCTGACGTGCGTACTGCACCTAGAAATTCTTCTTTAATGTGATAGTAGTGGAATCTCACTATCACGTCTTTGGGTGCAGCTGGAGGAGCATTGCCGGGTTTGGGCAATCTGTGGATGCGATCCAGTAATAAATCCGTATTTTTTGCGTTTGGAAGAGCTGACTTCACCATTGTCTGGAAATAGCTTTGTAATTCCTGGGAGTCGATGTTATCAGGGATCCCCCTGATCCTTAGGTTATTACGCCTACTTCTATCTTCAGCGTCGGCAAGCTTTTCTGCTTGTTGGTGCACTTGCTTTTGGAGCTCTTTTACGGTTTCAACCAAATCCAGATGAGATTGCTCTTGAGAATGCAATTTATTCTCTATTATTTCTGTACGCTGATTAATGCCCTCCATGGCTCCATATAATGTGTCAAAGTCATTTTTAAAGTCATTTTTCAAATCAACTCTCAAATCTTTAATAAGTTGAATTATCATGCCAGCTGACGGTGGCAGGTCTGCTGCCAATTCAAGTGGCATGTTAGGATTATAGGTCGCAGCTTTAAATGTGGTAGTAGCCATATTGGAGGTGGCAGCGGCCATCTTGGAAGTGGAAAATACAGTATCTGGACTGTCAGCCATCTTTGTTGTGGCAACATAACGTGTTCTCTGTGGTAGTGCAGAGAAGGCACTTTTTTGGAGCACTTCAGCCCCTATTTCCATAAGATTTTCATCTGGGCTTACTGTAGCCCTTGCTGCCCCTTTAAATACTTTGGGTCGGACAGCAGAGGCCCCCCCCGCCGGGACCGACAGCCTGGAGGCTGAGGATCCCGACGGGGAGCGTGACCTCACGCTGCCCTCCCCTTTACTTGCAACCCGGTCGCTTTTGTAAGTGAGCGACCGGGCTGCCCTGGAGTGAGACCGCGAGCGGCTTGCAGGGAGGTCCTTGCCGCTCGCGGGAGACACAGCACTGTGCTCCGAGCATGCCGAGTGCTCGGAGCACTCTGAGCCGCACACAGGAGTGCCGGCTAGTGCGGTCGCGGTCCCGCCGCCCTCAGGAAGCTGCGGACGGGTCGCGGCCGCACAAGCATAGGTTTTGGGGAGGGAGACCGGGCGGGAGACCGGGAGGGAGGTAGGGAGGGATTTCCCCGACGCCACCAACGAAAGTTTAAGCGGCGAAACAAGCCGCGAGGCGGGTTTGGAAGCAGGGGAGCGAGCCTGGGAACCCTTACTCACCCCAGCCGCTCCTGCTTCCATTTTCTTCGTCCCAGGAACGGATTTTTCTGTTTTCTTTTGCTTCTGCATGATCAGTGCTAAGTTGACTTTTTGTATTTTCAATTAAAATTGGTACATTCAGATTAAAATTGTCACTTTAGGAACAAAATTGTCCCCCTTGTCCAGGAGCCTCTCTATAACGTGGCCATCTAAGATGGTGGCCAAGACACGCCCCTTTCTATAAAGTTTTCTAACAGCACATCTGAGAGATGTATGCAGCAATCAGACACACCAATCGGGATTCTCTCATTCTGGTCTTTGGGGTTGACCTTATAATCTTTCTGCAAAACCACTTATCCCATAAGCATAGGATGGATCAGTTTAAAGGGACACTCCAGACCCCTAAAGCACTTTAGTTTCATGAAACACTGTATGTGTAAAAGGTGTGTACTCTTTATTTCATTTTACAAAAAGAGCAAGATTCAATAGAAAGTTACACTTTTATAAATGAAAAAAAAGAAAGGGTGAGAACTCTGAGAACGGACAAAAGCTTAGAGAGACTCGATTACTTGCCCTTCGGTACATCCCCACTCAGGTCTCAAAATAGTTTTTGCTCACTTGTGACATTACAGAGAGAACATATCTGAACCATATCAGACTGGTCCCACCAGTTCAGGCAGCCCTGATCTGAAATGCCTGCAAGCTCACTCCGCAAGAGAGATACAGCAACCCCAGACGATCGTTTTGGCCTTCTTTTGGGCCTCGTCAGTGAGGTGTAGCTGATGTCCCTCTAGGCACAGTGAGCACCCCTGAGCATCCCTGAGCAGAGGTATACCGAAGGGCAAGCTATCAAGTCTCTCTAAGCTTTTGTCCGTTCTCAGTGTTCTCATCCTTTATTTTTTTTTGCTTTTAAAAATGAATCTGGTATCACCCCCTTGGCTTTAAAGGAGACAACAGGTCTTGTGTTACTTCTTGGTTTGGTTAGCTCAGTGGAGCTAAACTCAAAAGGCAGCAATTGCTGCGATCACCTGCCTTGCAAAGACTTCTTATTGAACTGCACTGGGGGAGGGTTTGCAAAGGCAACAGACAAGAGAACTGTAGGTTTTGCAAGCTGTATTTAGATTTACCCCAATGAAAAAATGCATAACTAAATGCAGGTATGTTTTCATTTGTAGTATATTTACTAAACAGTGATTTTTATTTATTTTGTATTTGAGCAGTGGATTGTCCCTTTAATAAACTGATAGCAGTCACACTGTGGCTTCTATCATTTTACTCACAGCTCGGTTCACTGTCTTGTAAACCAGACATTGTGCAGTGATTACCTACGCCACCAACTGCACATGCCCTTCCTACTCATGAGTCCAATGTACACACACTGCACACTCAAGTTAAAGTGACACAGCAAACAGGGCAATTAAATGGCTCGTTTGGTGTATTAGAATTATTACAAATCGCTGCAACTGTAAACCACTCTCAACAGGAAAACTGGGTACAGGGTGCTTTCTGCACCATAACATTTGCAATTGTTATTGTGCTTAGAATGGCCATTAATATGCAGGAAAAAGTTCATGTACAATATATACTATTTTATTTCAACATTAGACAGAAGACTAATCAGTATGTCTTTGGGGTTTTTAATTTTAGTGGGAACTGTACATTTTAGGGAAAAGTAGCCACGCTGGAAAAATAAGTTTTTACAATATTTCCAATTTGTCTGTTTTGGCCTCAAATAATTATTATATATGTGAAAAAGAAATTAAAAAAGACAGACAAACAAAATATTAACTTTTTACTGGTATTACTGCTACTGCACTTGAGCTTCAATTAAAATCATCACATTCTGGTCTGCGAGGTTTGATCTTATTCCATAAACCCTGTCTGTTTGGATATAGGATGAATAATTTTGGGGTTTTTTTCAGCAGCAGATGCACTCATCAGATTGAAAAAACCTGAGTAGCCATCCTACAGCTGTGATCAGTTTACATACAATCCAGTTTACTAATGATGCATACTTTGAAAAAAAAAAAATATATATATATATATATATATTCTGTATTTTTTTCTACAACAGGTTTTTCTTTTTTTTTTATTGGATTATGTGACATGTATTTTATATATTATATGTACCACAAGTTATATTTTGATAACTTTCACACCCAAGAAGGTATCATTTTATGGTACATAACATTTAGTCAATAATTTAAATTTTGCTGGCAAACTCCCTAATTCTTAATCTGCTTTGCACCCTGCACTTTAAGACTATCACAGATTTCCAGGTTAGACAAAAGTAAAATTGAAAATACGAAAGTGTGACTTTCACAGAATCAATGCATCTAATAAATCTCAGGAGTGCCACAGTTTTTGTCAAAACTACTCCTCAACGGTTTGACAACGAACTAGTCGATGGGTCTAAGAGACTCTTGGCAATACAACCACTACATCACTGAACTCATTTTTCAAACATGGGTAGTTAAGGCAATGCCGTGTACATCATTTAGGTTTCTGATGGGGAAATTCTTTTTCAATAACTGCCAATCGAAATAATTTGCTGGCGCGTAGCCAAAACAGAATTACTCATTTTTGAATTGCCATGACTTCTCTTTTATTTGATTTAGATGTCAGGCACTTCAAGGCATGACCGAGAAATGGCCATGCAGGCAAAGAAAAATCTTGCTACGTGTACAGATCCTGTGGAGAAGTTGCGTCTGCAGTGCCTGTCCAGGGGTTCTGCTGGTATCAAAGGTTTGGGCAGGTAAGTAATGCACACAGCTCTGCTACCTTTTAGACTGACTTAGCATCATGCCAAAAGTGGTCCTTGATCATCTGCAGTGCCATCACGTTTCTCATGATGTTAGACATGCCTTCAATGTGGGCTGGGTGGAACGTATAAAAGGAGCAGGCATGTGAAAGGTGTGCGGATAAAAGAGGGGCTAAATTAGCCGCACTCACAGAAAATAGCAGAGAAGCCTTAATTGTGAAGCCACATGGTGCGTGACAAGTCTTCTGTGGATAAAGAGTAGTACTAAATCCAAATAAATAACAAGCCAAAAAATAAACAGACTGCTTCAAGAAGCCTCTCGTATAACCGTACTACACAAATATCAGCCGATGGTCTATATCAAGTATTAATTTCCAAGAGATCCTACTATGTAGATCATGTTGACAAATGAAAGCAAAGTGTCTCGCCTAATCTTCCACACTTTCCAGACACATAGCACGGGTATTGCTGTCAATGTTACATGCCTTGTATTTAAAGTTAACACATTAACATTAAAAATAAATATTTTTAATGTTAAAGTGTTTCTTATTGGATTGGATTCCAGTGCTTTCCCCCTTTTCTCCTTTTAAAATAAAAACAAAATTTTTTTTTAAATTTTTTTTTTACATATCTATTCTTTATTTCAAAATATTTTTTTATATATAAATACACAATGACAAGCCCATGCATTACAACAGAAAACATATTTATGCGATTATAAATGTGACATAGTGTTATATCTTATTTTATATCCCTTATTTTAACACAATGCTCTTATTCAAAATGTACATATTACTTCGCATAACCAACACATGACATTATAATAATTTAAACTCTACTTAAATTAAAGAATTCCTGTGAGACGGACCAGGCTAACTAGGATTTCAATATATCGTATTCCCATTCTGCTCTTATTCTATAATGTATTTTAATGTATTCAAGGGGTTAAAAAGAAAAAGAGAAAATAAATATAGATCTGTTGTATTTTAAACAGCCATTCCTTCAACCTTTTCCTAGCTGTTAATGTTATTCCCATTTCCATATTTAATTGGTAGATCAGTTGTTCTTTAACTAATTCCCAACAAGGAACCTTAGTAGATTTCCAGATTCTTGCCACCAATAATTGTGCAGACCACAATATATGCATAACCAATGCAGAGAATTGCCCAAATATTTGATACCTGTTTAGATGCAATAAAAAGATGCTGGAGAGTAGAACCAAACACAGGTATTGCTGTCAATGTTACATGCCTTGTATTTAAAGTTTACACATTAACATTAAAAATACTATTTAACCACTATTGCAGTTGCTCCACCATCTTCAGAGATCATCTGTCTATCTAGAATGATCTCTGGTCCAAACCACTGCTTCTCCTACCTAGAGAATCAATGATGGCCTATTTGGCAGGCAGGGCAATCGCCGCACTCAGCCAATTGGATTCTTCTGATAGAGAAGCACTTTATCTAATGCTTCTTGCAAGGGAGCTATAGTGCTAGGAATACAACTTTGTGTTCATAGCACTATAGTATCCCTTTAAATAAAGTCTTCACTAGGAAGTGCCTCTAGGGGCTGTCAGTCTGAATTCCACTAGAGGAATGTTATAGCAAAATGCAAAATGTAAACATTGCCATTTCTAATGAATTATTAAAATTAAGTGCCTTTGATAGTTAGAGTGTCTCTTTTAAGCAGCTCCTAGAACTGTCCTCCCCAGTAGAAACTATCACAGAAAGCCAGACTCATCATGCATATATAATGTTGTAGCATTATATGAGTCATGCAGTTATTGATTTCTGGGATATGCATTTGTTTCCATAGAATATTTAGAATTATGGATGACGATAATAACAGAACCCTCGATTTCAAAGAGTTTGCGAAAGGACTAAATGATTTTGGTTTGATGATGGAAAAGCAGGAGACTCAAGAAGTATTCAGCATATTCGACAAAGATGGTAGTGGTACAATAGATTTTGATGAATTCCTTGTCACATTACGTGTGAGTATGTATAATTCAACATTTAGACAGTTTTGTATTAGGATATCATTGTAAGTTTAATGAATTATCTGCAGTCATATTTTTTTAATTTGAGGAAATATTTGGTGTTAGTGATTTGCTTACAAACAATATGCATGAGTGTGTTCTTGTTAAAAACAGTTGCAAGACAACATGATTGGAACAAAAAATACTACTTTGGTAGCAAATCACACATGAGCTATCCTTTCTGATACAGATAGTATCTGTCTTAAAGTAACACTAGAGTAAATATAGAAAATTAATATTGATCCACTCACTCAAGGATAAAAGCCAAAATAGCAGCTTTATTTAGAGCAAAACAACATCAACGTTTCGACCCATAAACCCTTTAAACACCACCTTGCTGGCTCCGTCTCCGCTTCCTCCTATATTATTATGTGGGGAAAGCTAATGCGCACGCATGGCGAGCACAGAGCGCATTGGGCCTACCACATAGGAAAGTATAAAATCAAAGCTTTCCTATGGGGATTTAGAAGACGCTGGACATCCGCATGCAAAGTGTGAGGACATCCAGCATTGTTTCATGGAGTTAAACTCTGTGAAAAAGCAGGAAGCGCCTCTTGTGACACTTCTTCTTCTTTAAAACCGCAAAGTTTTCAGATGCAGGATTAAGGGGGGCACTGCTCCCAGACCACTTCAATGAGATGAAGTGGTCTGGGTACCTATAGTGTCCCTTTAACAACTATGAAATATATATATGTTACAGTTAAAGTGCAGAAATCAGTTAAAGCGAATGCCCCTAAGCCCCCCACATTACCTATTTTTTAATCTTTATTTTCTGCCCCGATCTATATTCAGGGCGCCGCCATCTTTGTGTGGGTAGATGAAGTCCCTGTGGGACACGTCATCTGTCCACACTAGATAGCACTGAGATTCCCGCACATGCCCAGTGAAACACTTGGACATGCGAACGGGAATTTCATCTATTCATTCATTCGTCAGAAAGACGAATGAATGAATAGAAATGTCAGACGAACAAACAAACACTGAATATCAGTGTTCGTTTGTTCGTTCAGTTTATTACAAGGAGGGAGCTACCGGCACGCAGCTCCCTCCTTGTAATATGTAAAGATAGAAGCGGCAGGGAGCAGTGCTCCCCGCCACTTCATAAGCCCCCCAGGTCTCCTCTCACTCTATGGGGGTCAATATGACCCCCATAATAGCATAAGGGAGATTAATACCACGAGTAGGGGCATGTCCACTAAACAGTGAGCAGCCTGTGGCTGCTCACTGTTTTAAAAAAGAAAACTACTATCCGGCCCCCACCCCTGTGCGGCGGGTGGGGACCCTAAAAAACAATAAGGGGGGGACCTACTGTCCTCCCCCCCTGGCCCCCACACCTGAGCGGTGGGTGGGGGCCCTAAAAAACAATAAGGGGGGGACCTACTGTCCTCCCCCCCTGGCCACCACCCCTGAGCAGTTGGTGGGGGCCCTAAAAAACAATAAGGGGGACCTACTGTCCTCCCCCCCGGCCCCCACCCCTCAGCAGTGGGTGGGGGCCCTATATAGGAATGGTAGGGGGGGACCTACTGTCCTCCCCCCTGGCCTCCACCCCTGAGCAGTGGGTGGGGGCCCTAAAAAACAATAAGGGGGACCTACTGTCCTCCCCCCGGCCCCAGCCCCCACCCCTCAGCGGTGGGTGGGGGCCCTATGTATGAATGGTAGGGGGGGACCTACTGTCCTCCCCCCTGGCCCCCACCCCTGCATGGCGGGTGGGGGCCCTAAAAAACAATAAGGGGGGGACCTACTGTCCTCCCCCCTGGCCCCCACCCCTGAGCGGTGGGTAGGGGCCCTAAAAACAATAAGGGGGGGGGACCTACTGTGCCCCCGGCCCCCACCCCTGAGCGGCCGGTGGGGGCCCTAAATAAAAATTCACCCCCCAATCAAGGTGACTAGGGGTCCCAAGCCCCTAGTCACCCCCCCTCACCCAAATAAAACTATCCCCTACCTACCCCCCCTCACCCTAAAAATAGTGAGGGGGGAATAAAATAACTAACCTGTAAACAAAAATTAAACTTACCATTTGACGTCTTCTTTTTTTAAAATCTTAATTTTTCAGCCCCAAGAAAGGCTAAATAAAAAGCTATCATACCCGTCGAACTTAAAATAAAATAAAAAACCCGAACGCAAAAAAAAAAATCCTGCTGAAAAAGAAAAAACCTGACGCTAAAAAAATTAATCAATCTTCACCCATGGAAGGCTCCGCGCAGACTGAGCTCTGCAGGGCAGCCCTGCAATTAGGCTAAGAACACTCTGATTGGTTGGTTTAAGCCAATCAAAGTGCTCTTTGTCATTTTACATAGCGTGGGAAAATTCCAAAGAACTTCCCCACGCTGTGTAAAATGACACAGAGCACTGTGATTGGTTAGATTCCAAGCCCACCAATCAGAGTGCTCTTTGTCATTTTACACAGCGTAGGAAAATTCCAAAGAACTTTCCCACGCTGTGTAAAATGACACAGAGCACTCTGATTGGGTGGCTTGAAATCCATCCAATCACAGTGCTCTGTGTCATTTTACACAGCGTGGGAAAGTTCTTTGGAACTTTCCCACGCTGTGTAAAATGACAAAGAGCACTCTGATTGGCTTAAACCAACCAATCAGAGTGTTCTTAGCCTAATTGCAGGGCGGGGCAAGGCTTTATAAGCCTTCCCCGCCCTGCAGAGCTCAGTCTGCGCGGAGCCCTCCATGGGTGAAGATGGATTAATTTTTTTAGCGTTGGGTTTTTTCTTTTTCGTCAGGATTTTTTTTTGCGCTTGGGTTTTCTATTTTATTTTAAGTTCGACGGGTATGATGGCTTTTTATTTGGCCTTTTTTGGGGCTGAAAAATTTAGATTTAAAAAAAAAAAAGACATCAAATGGTAAGTTTAATTTTTGTTTACAGGTTAGTTATGTTATTCCCCCCTCACTATTTTTAGGGTGAGGGGGGTAGGTAGGGGATAATTTTATTTGGGAGGGGGGTTACTAGGGGCTTGGGACCCCTAGTCACCTTGATTGGGGTGCATTTTTATTTAGATCCTCCATCCGTCGCCCATGGGTAGGGGCTAGGGGGGAGGACAATAGATCCCCCCCTAATTGTTATTTAGGGGGGCCCCCTCCCACCGCGCGTGGGTGGGGGCGGTTAGTAGTTTTTTTTCTTTTTTTTATAACAGTGAGCAGCCACTGGCTGCTCACTGTTTAATAGACATGCCCCTACTCACGGTATAGCGAGTAGGGGCAGAATTTACTTATACTAAGTAATCTTTACTTAGTATTAGTAAATTTGGATGAAAGACCAATTTAGGTCTTTCAGCATTTTAGTAGATAACTCCCTGATACCGTGGGCATTAGGGAGTTAACTACTAAGCGGCTGCAAGATGCAGCCACAGCACGAATAGGATCGGCGTTTCATTCATTCGAATGAAATTGCGATCTGAACAAAGTCCCGAATTGCATCCTAACACGAATGGAGAAACTGTTCTCATTCTGTTAGGATGCAATTCGGCAGTTTTGTCGGCGTTCTGTCTAAGTGACAGGACGTTCGGCAATACTGACAGGAAGCATCGTGGGAACAGGGAGGAAAGCTAAGGATCATGGGAAAATTGCTCTGACCAGCGGAAATGAAGCACACTTTGCTCCTCCGCTGGTCAAAGCTGGTCAAGCGGAGGAAACCTCCATAAGGCAAAGAGTCCCTACTTTGTCTTATGATTTTAAAGAAAACTAAAGAAGACAGGAAGAAAAGAAGAACATATCCTGAGAGAGGGGAAGAAGAGGAAGAGATTGAGGAAAGGTAAGTTCGGCATGACAGTGCCGCTTTAATGTGCACATTATCTAGTTAATCTGCAGATTAACTAGGGCGATCAGTTAAAAGTGCAGAAAATGATTTCGTTTCTCAAATATTTCTCAAATTACCTAGGTAATCTGCACGTTACCTACTAGGCACTCGTTAAAGTGCAAAAAAATCATTCTGTCCTCAATCTCTCTGAGGGGCTCACAGCTCTGGAGGACACCATGGTGTGCACAGGCTGCTGTTCTGTTCTTGTCTGGACCACATAGTCACATACCTCTTCAAACAGTTTATCCCGAACTGGTAAGAAACGAGGAGCCCCCACCACCACAAGAGAGCGAGCTCTTCCTGCACATTATGCAGCTACACCCTGAAATGATCCCAGCAGATGCTCGCCTCTGTTCTCTATATCATCATATATTTGAAGACTGTCGCAATCAGTGGTCCATGAGCAGACCTCTCCTTGGTCTCATTCTCCTCAATGAGAGAAGTATTTCTCTGACTTACGGAGCAGCATTGTTAGTAGCCAGCCCCCCTCTGAGAAGCAACAAGCCATGTGTTTATGCTTTGAGAATTTGATGGTGGAGGGCACTTGCTCACAAAAAGATTTGAGACAGGTTCACACAGAATCTTTCTGCCTTCAGACGAGAAGTGTTCTGCGAGGACGTTTTTGTAATAAATAATTTCCTCTTTTACAGAGGGAAAGAAACAAACATTTTGCACTTTAACTAGATGGAAGTAGTTAATGTGCACATTACCTAGGTAAAGTGCGGAAAACTCTTGATTCCGCACTTTAACTGAGCAAATCAGTTAATCTGCAGATCAACTAGTTAATGTGCACATGAACTGATTTCTCACTTTAACTGTAACATATATATATATATATATACGGCTAGTAGCTTAGGACTTCACATTTTAAACCCTGTATACATTATGTACATATAATATATAGTGGCAAGTTAAAGGTAACTTGCCACTGCAAGCCATAGCATACACACCAGGGGTACATTGCTACTCACCACAGCTAAATTTTCAATCGCTGATAGCTAGTGGAAATTTTGAGCCATGCTATATATTTCATGATTAAGGCTTAGCCTAGGTGAACATGTCAAGCTTTTACTATATCCAACCACAGTGCTATTCAGTGGGGGCCTGACAACACACAGGACTACTGTGCAATGGGAAATCAAGGCCCCTTCCCAGTGTAGGGATTTTGGCTACACAGGCAAAGATACATTTTGTGCCCCCATCCCCAGCCCCCACTCTCAAACAGATAATATGACTATGCTGCCGAGCATACAGAATAGCTGTGTGAAAGCTCAAACATGCAGGCAGCACCAAACAGTGATAGATTTACTTTTAAGCGGTTATTTCAACAAAAACTGTTTTTTTATTAAACCTTGCTGACATATCCCCTCTGTTAAAATTTTTTAAAAAAAGCAATAGACTAACCTCTCTGTCCCAATTTTCAGAGGGTATGTACACAAAGGTAATGGTCAGTAGGAGTAGGTGTCGGGCTCTTTGCTTGTGTATATATACCAGCCACAAACAGTCAAGGCAACAAAGCATGAAATGTCATGACACTTGGACAGCCTTCTCTCTTTTCATCAGTCATTTGTAATAATTTTATTTTAGCCACCTATGTCCAACGCAAGGAAAGACGTCATCAATCAAGCATTTAGGAAGTTGGACAAAAGTGGAGATGGTATTGTAACAATTGAGGATTTACAAGGTGTATATAATGCAAAATACCATCCAAAATACAAGAATGGAGAGTGGACAGAAGAGCAGGTTTTTAGGAGTTTTCTTGATAATTTCGATTCTCCGTATGACAAGGATGGCAAGGTATGAGATGCCATTTAAATTAACTTTTATTTTACTGATTATTTTATTTTTAAGATCCAGATATTTTTAAGTCATCTTCATCAAAATAGTTTAAAGTCACTAAAATATATTAAAATATATATAGAAAAAGATGGCAATGTGTTTGGATTACATATGGCAAGAGACAGAATCCATGAACAGTGCTGTGTTAGGTTAGCAAACCTTTCATTAAACATCTTGTAAGACTTAGAGTTGAGAAGAATGTATCATGAAATCAGTGATTGCTAACCTTTGGCATCTTGGGAAATATAGTCTACAAACTCTGCAGTGCCAAAGTATTACAGCAGTATTTATAATAAATCTGTGGGATATTGTATATATCTTTTACCACATCCTCTCATAGTGGATGATGATCAATATGATGACCCTTTATCATTAATTGAAACTGGCTATTATTCCCCAGTGAGACTCCAGCCAGAAAGTGTAACTAGTCCAGATTTAACCCTTTGCACATACATTTGATCTAAATTATATGAGAATGGGTTCAGACTGAAGAAGGTACATTTTACATTTATACACCCACAGGTTATTTTCACTATGCCTTCGATAATCTCTACCTTTAAGTTCCTCTTACACATATAAAACATCTGTTTATTAAAACACTCTATAACACATAGTTACATAGTTACATATAGTTACATAGCTGAAAAGAGACTTGCCTCCATCAAGTTCAGCCTTCCTCACATTTGTTTTTTGCTGTTGATCCAAAAGAAGGCAAAAAAAAAAAAAAAAAAAGTTTGACGCACAATTTTGCAACAAGCTAGGAAAAAAATTCCTTCTTGACCCCAGAATGGCAGTCAGATTTATCCTTGGATCAAGCAGCTATTACCCTACTTTGAAAGATTATATCCTTGAATATTCTGTTTTTGCAAGTATGCATCTAGTAGCTGTTTGAACATCTGTATGGACTCTGATAAAACCACTTCTTCAGGCAGAGAATTGCACATCCTTATCGTTCTTACAGTAAAAAAACACGTTACCTTTTCTTGTCAATATTTTTCATTGCATTTTTCTTGTAGCAGGCTGATATTTTCTTGTAGAATTGACTTCTACCCAGAAGCCTGTGTTGTGTGTTTTCTCACTTTACTTTTTACCGTATTAGGTCACACCGGAAGAATTTACAAACTACTACGCTGGTGTCAGCGCATCAATTGATACTGATGTTTACTTCATTACCATGATGAGAAATGCCTGGAAACTTTAAGTGTAGGAATTGAAAAACAGAAAGCTGTTTTTTTTTTTTATTGAATCACGATGATTAAATAAAGATATATCCGGAAATGCAGGCAGATTTCATCCGTAACACTGTATTCACAGATACGCACATTAACATGTCATATTCACATTGCATTAGTTCTCTTGTAGTTTGACCTCTTTCATTACATATTAGATCCCTAATTACTTTTCACATCCTTGGGGATCTATTCACTAAACATTTGTTTGATAAGTGGCTTGTCGTTTGTAGATTAGTATAGCAGAGTTACAAAAAATGACTTAGTTAAAACGTCTTTCCATCCATCTGTTGTGACTAATGTGGACAACATTTGCAAGCCATTTGTCAGCTCACCACAACTCACTCTTTAGTGATCCCAAGTAATACCTCTTGAGCTGGTCTGCTTCTTGTTTGGCATTTCTTTTTCTGTTCTTCTGATACATGATTCAGATTAATAATGGACCACAACTGATGTTCAGCTATTGGCACATTGCTAGAAACATAAAACATCCTGCAAATAGAAGCAGCCTGCAAATCTAGGCAATTTAAAGAGTAAATATTACGAAATGAGACAAATAGCATAAAACTGCATATTTAGAAATGAAAGATATGATATGCATGGGATGAAATAGCATATATTTCAAATATTAAAATTCTAGTTAAAAAATAGCATATAAAAATGAAATAGGCATAATACCGTGAAATGGCATGAGAGTAATTTATCAAATGGGATCAAATGAATTATTTATTTATCTATGAATGCAGCAGAGTCCTGTGAATGTTTACTGCCATTATTAACACCCACAACTACTGTAGACACACTTTTAGATTTGAGGTCATACAAAAAGCTAATTATTTCACCTTTAACACCATAGTCTATCCTGCCTGCATTTCCGTGATTTAATTATTATTATTTTTTGCTATAATACAATAATAACATAACACTTGCATGTTTCATATGTTTCACATTTAACCACTAACAAAACATACTAACCTTTGCAAAATCAACACTGAAAAATTTGGTCAATTATGTTCAGTTACAGTTTAACAAATACTTCTGTAAATTTTTGTATCTTTTGTTTCATATATTATTAAAATGTACTCTAAAAGAGAGACGTACTAAGAAAGTCAAAGAGCTGGAGATGAAAAGCCAGTGTGGTTCTGTGGATGCTCATTTGCAAGCTGAACATGGATATTTGTAAATTATGGCTGACTAAGCATCATTATAATTATTGGCATTTATATAGCAAACAAGAAACAATTATTACAAATGTTAACAACAAACAAGAGGTTATTTGGGACCCAGCTTGAACAAACTTACAATCGTGTTAAAAATTAAGTTCACAAAGAAAACACAAGATTAGCTATTACAGACATTTTCATTCTGCAACTTTTTCATCACACAACAGCTGAACAGCATTCACATGCAGTTAGAGTGTCACAAATTACATGTTTTAAACAATTCTCCTATTTAAAATTTTAAACCAAAGTTGTAATTAGATGAATCTCCTTATAACATGGGTGATTTGGCTGAACACAAATATCCAAATTGCAAGTGAATTGCCTTTTTTCAGGTCTTCTTATAACCCTGAGGGGAATAGCATGTACAATTGTAAATCCCCAATCCCCTAAACTACTCTTATATTAGCAGAATATATTTTGGAGCAGTCAAATACAGTTTTACAATACTATACAGTTCGAAATTTGGTGAATGTGGTTGAGCTATTTTGAGCTGAAGCTCACTACGGTAAATAAATCCATTTCAAAATAGCAGGGATACATTTGGGTCAATTTAGCGAGCATTCAGTAAACCATAGAGGGAATGTAACAATTAAATGTGGGACCTTTGAATCCAATGATATCAACAAGATTTGCAAAAGCAAATTCATTGCACCATGTCAGCTATAATCATCTGATAATACCATATGCAAAGGTTAAGGATGGGGGTAGCTCCTTATTGCCCTCAGGGCCATATTGGGAACCAAAAGCATCCCTGGAAAAAAAAAATATTCTAGCCATATACTTCATTGTGCCATATAGTGTATTGGTATTTTTTTTTATTTTTTATTTCTGTACTGTTAAATTGTTACTTACCTAATAGATGTTATGTGTAATGTGCTGTGCTGCACTGAAGAACCAGGTCCCGTGGCCCACTAGGAAATTTGAGGGTATCCTGGTGGCCAGTCCGACCCCGCACCTTAATTAAAGGATCACCATAGGGTCAGGAACACAAACATGTATTTCTGACCCTATAGTGTTAAAACTATCATCTACCCCCCTGGGCCCCTCATGCCTCCATAAATATAGCAAAATCTTACTGTATTCAAGCCAGAAGCTGTAACTCTGCATGCTGTTTTCCTCAAAAAACAAAACAAAAAACAAGCAGTCTGCTGACATCATCAGAAGTGATAGCCTGATCCAACCTGACAAGGAGGCAGATCAGTGGCAGAGCCAGCATGATTCAAACACAGCCCTGGCCAATCAGCATCTCCTCATAGAGATGAATTGAATCAATGAATCTTTATGAGGAAAGTTCAGTGTCTGCATGCAGAAGGAGGAGATACTGAATGAAAGGATGCATTTTAGGCAGCCATGACCCAGGAAGGATCTCTAACAGCTATCTGAGGAGTGGCCAGTGAAGTTATCCATAGGCTGTAATGTAAACAGTGCACTCTGAAAAGATAGTGTTTACACAAAATGCCTGAAGATAATGATTCTACTCACCAGAACAAATTTAATAAGCTGTAGTTGTTCTGGTGACTATAGTGTCCCTTTAAGTAATACAACATAAATAGAGAATGTCAGTTGAGATTTTTTTTAATGGTTATTTAAAATGGAATTGCTTGTGAAGTTTATGTGCTTGAGATATATTTTCAAACATTGGAAATAATTAGTTGAGTCTCATCAACAATTCTTATGTTCACAAAAAAGGGATACATGGCTAATGAAGAGGGACTGTCCCACCTGCTCAAAGACACTAGAGAGATATGAATATGACCTCATGTTTAGATGTCTCCAATTTTGTATCTTTCTAATTCTTACTAGCATGTTTTGTAACTGTTTTATTAATCAGGGTGGCAGATCTGTTTTCATGGGAATCCAGCAATGACCCTTCAATTGTTGTTTTATACTTATTAATTATTTGCAAGCCAGATGAGACTATTATTCAACCATCAGCTAGAATGCAATGGATGAAATGTTCTGGGACAATGTTAGACACAAATAATATTTATGCTGGTTGAAAAAGAATATTTAAAGTTAACCTGTCTTGACAGGTTCACATGAATGAATCCTAAAGCATTAAATATATAATTTATCGTACACATAAATCATACATTTAATTACTTTAGCAGCTGTTAGGACCACTAAAGGCACCTAGACCACTTCATCTCAATGACATGGTCTGGGTGCACTGACCTTTTACTATTAGCCCTTCAGTCTAAAGCATTGCCTTTTAGTAAATAGAACAATGTATCCTCAATGCTCCTAATGGTTCCACTCGATGGTGGAAAAAATAAAGTAAAAAGTTTTTCTATATTTCTTTACATGTCAAAAGGGGAAGGGGGAGGGAGAGGGGCTGAATCTAAATATTGACCAGGATACTGTAGCATTAGAAATACATGTTTGAATTCCTAACATTATAGTTTTCCTTTAAGGTGATACTAATCTCTTGGACAGTGCTTCCGACGTCACTATAATAAATGGATCAAGGATTTAACATGCACCTTTGAGTCCACCCTGGGGTGACTCAAAGCAAGGCGATGCTAACTTACCCAAGCAAGGCGATGCTGACATGATGGCTTCATTGCATTTTCTGTCCATCAGCATGTGAATAGAGAGATATCTGTTACTCCGCTGCAATACTTTTTTAACAAATGCAAGATGCACTTGTTAGAGAAATAATCATAGGCGTGCGCAACACCCTATGTATAAGGGTGTGCACCCTAAAGCAGAAACACACACGCCGCGTATATATATATATATATATATATATATATATATACACATATACACATACACACACACACACACACACACTGCTGTGTGTGTGAGGGTGCTGTGTGTAGGTGCTGTGTGTGTGTGTAGGTGCTGTGTGTGAAGGCGCTGTGTGTGTGCAGGCGCTGTGTGAAGGCGTTGTGTGTGTGTGTGCGGGCGCTGTGTGTGTGTGAAGGCGCTGTGTGTGTGAAGGCACTGTGTGTGAAGGTGCTGTGTGTGTAAGGGTGCTGTTAGTGTGTGCTGTGTGTGTGTATGTCTAAGGGTGCTGTGTGTGTAAGGGTGCTGTTAGTGTGTGCTGTGTGTGTGAGGGTGCTGTGTGTGTAAGGGTGCTGATAGTGTGTGCTTTGTGTGTGTGGGTGAGGGTGCTGTGTGTGTAAGGGTGCTGTTAGTGTGTGCTGTGTGTATGTGTAAGGGTGCTGTGTGTGTAAGGGTGCTGTTAGTGTGAGGGTGCTGTGTGTGTGTGTGTAAGGGTGCTGTGTGTGTAAGGGTGTTGTTAGTGTGAGGGTGCTAGTGTGTGTGTGTGTGTAAGGGTGTTGTTAGTGTGTGCTGTGTGTGTGTAAGGGTGCTGTGTGTAAGGGTGCTGTTAGTGTGTGCTGTGTGTGTGTGTGTGTGTGTGTGTGTGTATGTGTGAGGGTGCTGTGTGTGTAAGGGTGTTGTTAGTGTGAGGGTGCTGTTAGGGTGTGTGTGCTGTGTGTGTAAGGGTGATGTATTTGTGTGTGCTGTATGTTTGTATGTTTGTGTGTAATGTGTAGGAGCCGTTTAGTTAATATCCCCCTCCCTTCTTACCTTATATAGGGAGGTGGTCCTGTGGAGAGTGAACTAGCCCCCTGTGGGGCTAGAGTTCACTCTCGCGAGATCTGAGCGTTGTCACGGTAACCGCGGCAACGCTCCGACCTTGCGAGAGGAACCCGGCGGAGCTGCTGACAAGAGCTCCCCGGGTCCTCTCCTGCCTCCCTCCCTGTCATCACACCGAGCACCTGCAACAACCAGGACATACCTAGAATGTTGTATATTGTATATGCAGGACTTAAATTCCGCCCAAGAATGTGGTCCCATCAATTTATATCTCTCCTAGTCCCAGATCTTATATTTAAGAAGTCATTTCATGTCAAGCAAATGATTTACCCTATTAGGTCATTTGATGCTGTGGATCCACAACCATTTACTCAAACACTTTTTGTTATTTGTTTAAACATTTAATTTTAACATAAAGGTGCAGAGTATGTAAACTCCTTGAAATGTTTATTGTTTTTAAATTTGCTACCCTATTAAATGGCTCTGAGCGTCCATCTATTACATAGACATGTAGCATCATTAGATATAACCTTATCAAAACTAACGGTAACTTGTGCTTTTAAATTCAAGTAATTTTACATGTTTAATGAATGTATAATTTTAAAGGTTTAAGACTTGAAACTGAGTATATGGTTGTGGAGCAAAGCAATGGAAATGTACTTACCCTTCTTTGATCTCCCTCACCAGCCCACGGAGGGAGGCACATAGCATGTGCCGCGGGGATTAGGTTGTGCCTAGGCACACCCGGCACACCCCGTGCGCACGCCTATGGAAATAATCACAGCAACTACAGCTGGAGGTGTAGGAGGCACCAAAACTATTAAACTTTATGGTTCTTAATTTACTCTAAAGTTCAGTTTAATGTAATTGTCACACTTTAAAACATGTTTGCAGTTAAAATGTTAAATCCAAGCTATTGATTGACGTGTTATTTTTGGATTGACTTTAAAAAAAAAAAAAAAAAAAAAACTAAATTAACAAGATAACTACTAACAAATGTCAAGGTAATTTCTATTTGTTTCTTACAAATACATGTATTTCCATAATGACCAAATCAAATTAAATGTTACTTTTTTTCACAATTCTCGTTTCAGGTTACAAAAGATGAATTTCTGAATTATTATTCTGGAGTTAGTGCCTCTATCGACAGTGATGCCTACTTTGTACTGATGATGACAAATGCCTGGAAATTGTGATAAATGTATATTTTAAGATGTTTTGTTTCTGTTTTTGTTCACTTGAATAATAGATTGTTTCAGCCCATAACACCAGAAAAGGTCCAAAATGGCATGTAGCATTAAAGTATCTTGTTTGATATGTGTGCCATTACAACTTAAAAAGTGGTGAAAACCAGGTTTTTTGTTATAGATTTGTATTACTTGCAGTAAATTCGGACTAGCTACAACTGATTAGTTTTGCTATTTATAAGGAAAAAACATCACACCGAGCACCTGCAACAACCAGGACATACCTAGAATGTTGTATATTGTATATGCAGGACTTAAATTCCGCCTAACAATGTGGTCCCATCAGTTTATATCTCTCCTAGTCTCAGATCTTATATTTAAGAAGTCATTTCATGTCAAGCAAATGATTTACCTTTATTAGGTCATTTGATGCTGTGGATCCACAACCATTTACTCAAACACTTTTTTTTATTTGTTTAAACATTTAATTTTAACATAAAGGTGCAGAGTATGTAAACTCCTTGAAATGTTTATTGTTTTTAAATTTGCTACCCTATTAAATGGCTCGGAGCGTCCATCTATTACATAGACATGTAGCATCATTAGATATAACCTTATCAAAACTAACGGTAACTTGTGCTTTTAAATTCAAGTAATTTTACATGTTTAATGGATGTATAATTTTAAAGGTTTAAGACTTGAAACTGAGTATATGGTTGTGGAGCAAAGCAATGGAAATGTACTTACCCTTCAGTGTTCCAAATAAAGCACATAAGGTGGAGACATTGTTATGTAAGTGATGACCAGAAGTTAAAGGGTTGCTCTAACAAAAAAAAACATTTTTAATAAAACTCTGTTAATGGTTAGAGTAATCCTTACTGTTATCCTTTCTCCCGCCTCCCCCCAAAGTTAAAATAATAAAGGAGAATGTACTTGTGATTTAACACTAAAGTCAAGTTCTCCCCGAAGCCTGATTCTCCTATGGTAACACCAGTTACCCTCACTGCAGGGTAAGCACTGCAGTATGTCCCAGAGGATGGGCTAAAGGGAAAAACTTGGCTTTAGTGTTAAAGGGAAGACAACTGGTCGTCTGTTGCCAGCATGCTATGCATGCTGACGACTGACGGCAAATATGCCTAGTTTTGACATTACCCAGCCAGGAACTCTTGTTCTGAACTAGCTAATCATCCTGTTGGAGGTGAAGTTACACCTCTAGTAGCATTCAGTGTGCATTATTTCTTACTAAAACACTGCACATACAGACTCCAAGCACTATAACCACTTCAAATCAGTGAAGTGGTCATGGTGGTTGGAGTAGATATTAGATAATACTTCCCAATCTACAGACAAGGTTGATTTTTATGAATACATAAAAAATAGACATGTTAACCTCTGTTCACCTCTACATTTATAAGATCACAGTGCTGATGATCTATATTTGGTCAAATATAAGCAAAATCTTGATTAAACCCAGACTCTAACTGTTTCTACAGATATATGAAATGGTTCAATGTATACTAATTCATGTCTTGATTATCAAATTGTTCTTTGCAAAGTGTATGGGCATTTTGAACATATCAGTTACAGTTTATTCTGTATATTCAAGTGAATATTTATGTTATGCATTTAAATTATCTTTTTATATTAAAAATTTTCACTATACATATATTTTTTAAATATATTTGTTGTATAATTACAAAGAAAAACATAAAACATCAAAGAGCAGAAGGCGAAAGCATCAAGTATAGATGTATACACATTGCAGCAATATAATAAAGAGAAAAGGTTACAATACACTGCCTGAACTAGGGAGTAACATTGAAGTCTGTTGCAAGCACACTGCTGATAAGCCTTAGGAAGGGTTTCTAAGCTCAGAAAATGGAAATTAAATACAAATTAAAAAAGATCATAGAATAACTACATAAATTATAGGCAGCTGTGCTTAATGTTATATTCGGAGTCACGGGGAACATAATTGTTAGACATTTTGTGCTTAAAGGGAAATTTGCTAGTTATATAGTGTCACGGACAGGACCATTTGCCAAGCCATAGCAAGGGGAAGGTGGGCAATGCATGGACACCAGGATTCTGGCTGCCTTATTCCTAAACCCAAACAGGGCATAAAGTAACAGCCATGCATTCTTTTGTGCATTGACTGGGTGTATATCTACTAAACAGTGATATGTACTTTATTGCCCATTTGGGCATTGGAGTGTCACTTTAACTTAAATCCTGCAGATAAAAGTGGCTTGCTAAATCTTTCAAAATTAACTAGCAGTGCTTAAAGTGACACCAAACTGAGTATTTCATAAAGATGAAATCTTTATCCAATACTCACAGTGACTGTGTTTGAATTCAAGTGAAATACCAACCCAGTCAAAAGATATACTAAAACAAACTAGGGACTACTTTGACAGCCTTTATTCAGTAAAGTGAGAATTCAAGGTGAATTAAAAATTAATTTCAAATATAAGGTTAAAATAGTTTAAACTGGAAAAACTAGCTATGCTTTGGCTACTCTGGCCTTAAACTTGAAATTCACTTTGAATTCTCACTTTAGTACATACCCTTCACGTCACGACAAAAGGAAGTGCTACCTTTTTAGCAACCCTCTATTGTTCCTAGTGATGACTGAGGGGAAAAAGACTCTGTCTATGGAGAATCGCGTAAGGAGCATAATGCTGATGTCAGTTCAGCAACAGCAAGTTCAGAAAAGCATTACACACCCTCCCCTGCATCTCTTGGGCACTGCACTGCCAGCGAAGTATTATGCAAAGACCCCATAAGGTGACAGAGGCCCTTTATTGTAACAAACTATTTTAAAAAGGCATATAAAATATAAACAATGTAATGTGCATCCACGATTCAACAACAATAAGGAACTTAAATCAAAACATAGAAAATCCTGAAGTTACAAAGACTTAGCAAGACATTTTCTCTGTAGAGTTCTCTAAGTTAGATGCACACTCCAAAAAAGTTCTAATCAGTGTTTAGTAGATATACCCTCAATGAATACACGCGTGCAAAAGGTGCAGAAATATGATCAAAATATGTCAAATGAGGTAATGTAAAAGGAGTAAGATCATGCTGAAATGAGTAGAGCAGCATTAACATGCCACTGGTAGACAGGTTACTAGTCTGGAGCACAAATTCATTTTTAGAATGAAGCCAATCTTGTCTAAGTATCTTCATGGTCCTAGGACCGCTGTCTTAACCCAGATCTCTAGATGGTTGCCTCAGGCAACCTCATGGTTAATCCGGCAATCAGGTTCAGTCTGTATCTTACTAAACAAACTTATAGAATGCAATATCTAGCTGTAAAGCTGACACATAAGATGAGAGAAACAAGCTTTTGGACTTCAAGGTCCATGAGTAGAGTTGAGCGGACACCTGGATGTTCGGGTTCACCAAGTTCGGCTGAACTTTGGCAAAAAGTTCGAGTTCAGCTCGAACTTGACCCCGAACCTGTACTCAATGGGGACCCGAACTTTTGGGCACTAAAATGCCTCTAAAAAAGTCCTGGAAAGGGCTAGAGGGCTGCAAAAGGAAGTAAAATGGGGATAAGAGTAGGACAAGTGCCCTGCAAACAAATGTGGATAGGGAAATCACTTAAAATAACTTAAAATAACATAAAATAAGCAGCCGCTTAGTAGATAACTCCCTAATTCCCACGGTATTGGTCTTTCAGCCACATTTACTAATATTAAGTAAAGATTACTTAGTATTAGTAAATTCAGCCCCTACTCGCTATACCGCGAGTAGGGGTATGTCTAGTAACAGTGAGCAGCTTGTGGCTGCTCACTGTAAAAAAAATTAAAAATCTATTGGCCTCCACCCCTGAACGGTGGGTGGGGGCCCTAAAGTAAAATAAGGTGAGGGGGGACCTATTGTCCTTCCCTCGGCCCTCACTGCACTGAGTACTACCATTCCCACTATCCCTGCACTGACTGAGTACTACCATTCCCATTATCCCTGCCCTGACTGAGTACTGCCATTCTCATTATCCCTGTGTGGCAGTTGATATCTCTGTATCTGTGTGTATTTCTCGCCGCTCCGCAGTCAATGCAGTGTCTATGTATACTATGTCTATGGCTCACATGCTGGACTGGCCAATCACAGCCATGCCATTAGTAGGCATGGCTGTGATGGCTTCTAAGGGCACACAAGTCAAACGCTTGTTGATTGGCTGCCCTGCAGCCTTTCAAAATGCGCCATTAAATCGCCGAACACCGAACTCCAACCCGAACATACACTGAAATGTCCGTGTTCGGGTCCGGGGTCCAAAAAACATAATGTTCGATACGAACACGAACTTTTCAGTTCGGGTTCGCTCAACTCTATCCATGAGATAGGTGTAGCATTGAGATGGATTACATGGTGAGTTGACATGCTTTCCAAAATAGGTGGATGTTTAGGTATTTATAAAAGCCTGAAGAGTGGGGAAAGTGTGATATTGAGAAGTGTGGCGAAACCGACCTCGCCACTGTGCATTGGAGAAGACTGATTGCCAGCCTCCTGCCATGTAACTATGCCCCTGGGATGTATTGCCCTTTAAAGACATGATTTGGGCATAATGGATTTGTGTTGTGCTGCTGCTGGCCCTTTAAGAACCATCTGGGGACATACTGTGGAGTTACTGGGTGGCCACCATTTCCTGTATCAGAGACACATGGTGAGAACAATGGATGGCGGCCATTTTAACTCACAGACACTGTTTTGACTTTTCTACACGTGCCATCTCGCCGGTATTTGGTGCACAAAGACATTGTGCAGTAGTTTTAAACTATACAACAGGGGACACATTATACAGTAATTATTTTTCATATAGCCTGTATATGTTCTGCGGAATCTGCATTAAACTGTATCTTCCAAACTACTGAATGGATCTGGGTGAATTTTGGATATGTGGTTCACCCAGATCCTCCGGTTCCGAGGATATACCTTTTATGGGGTTATTGCATGTTTTGGGGTCCCTGTGATATGTTTTATAATACTGTATTTCTCTGCCTGTGATAATTATATTAACCATTGTGTTCAGTAATCATATCACAGGCAGAGGGGAGGATTTTGTGTGGGAGTGTCTGTGTGTATTGTATGGATTGATTGGCTGTGTTTCAAAACCCTGTGGGCAGTACTATATTTGTGGATTGTGAATAAAAGAGGCTGTATGTGCCAGTCCAGTCAGTTCTGCTTGACCTCAAAACGAAGTGTTGTCTCGTTATTGGGGGAATTGGATTGTATGCTGATTGCCAGGAGTGTAAGCTGATTGTATGCTTTTCCTGTTCAGCTGCTTACAGCATTCATATGCTTGAGAACATTGTATGCTTCTCTGGTTCGGTGGTTGTGGTGTCTGCTGCAGTGCTTGGAGTCCTCAGGAAACGCTAGGAGCATCCTTCAACGGAGGTACCCAGTCGGGGTGCCAGGTGATCCATGACAAGAAGTAAGGAATACCATAAAAGTAGCAATCAAGAAATTCTGTGAGTGTTGGAGGTGCTTGTGTGAATACATGTAAATGAAGCATGGTAACCAAGAACAAGAATGATTGCTTTTAAAGGAGAGGTGTTATCTCAACAATATTTTTTAATATAATGATCTTTCATGTTTTGAAAGGAAATAGATTTTGTGTTAAATTAAGTATATAAAAAAAAGAGGAATACTATAGGATCAGTAACTCAAATGTGTATTCTTGACCCTTTAGTGTTAAAAACACTATTTAGCCCCTGGTCCCCATTAATATAGTAAAAACTCACCCGAAAGGAAAGCATTGGATTGGCTGAGATAGTCAATTCTGAGGGGGGGAGGGGGAGGAGAAGGGGAGGGGCAGTATTTACATTAAAAGGCCTGGAGGGACTTACTAAATTAACCAGAACAACTACATTAAGCTGTAGTCGTTCTGGTGACTATAGTGTCCCTTTAAGATTACCCAGGGCCAGGGGCCTAGGCAGGGTGCTAGATTGGGGCACCCTTCTAGGGTCTTGAGTTCTGCTTCTGTGAGGGCTGTGTGTGGTGAGTGGCTGTTGACATTCTGAGCACTGTTTTGTCTGTTTGCTCCAGTGTTTGGTTTGCCATCATAACTGTGTGGTTTTTACAGTTTGCTTGTGATATAATTTCAGTTTCTTTATAAAAGTCAAATTCTGACGTCACTATTAGTGATGTCGCGAACCCGAAATTTTCGGTTCGCGAACGGCGAACGCGAACTTCCGCAAATGTTCGCGAACCGGCGAACCGCCCGAAACGCCATTGACTTCAATGGGGAGGCGAATTTTAAAACACACAGGGACTCTTTCTGGCCACAATAGGGATGGAAAAGTTGTTTCAAGGGGACTAACACCTGGACTGTGGCATGCCGGAGGGGGATCCATGGCAAAACTCCCATGGAAAATTACACAGTTGATACAGAGTCTGGTTTTAATCCATAAAGGGCAGAAATCACCTAACATTCCTAAATCACAATCAATATGGATTGACACCTGACATATGACATATTGACACCTTGACATATGGATTGACACCTGTCCTCAGAGCCCCTGATGCACACGGACACAGAGCAGAATAGGGACTGTTCCCCCTACATCGGGTCACTTGGCAGATATGGATTGACACCTTGTTACAAACTGCTATTTGTAACGGGCCCTTTAAATGGCAAATTGCCCTGTTTCCCTGGGTTGTGGAGAAGCCTCTTTGCCAGCCTCCTCCCGCATGACTATGGCCCCTGGGAGATTGTGAAAATGTATGCACTTTTATTTGGTGTGTATGGCCCTTTAAGACTGTCGGTGGGCATATTGGGGCTTATGGACTCTTTATGTGACTGGTGCTGGCCCTTTAAACACCTTTTTTGGGACATCAGGAAGATTGGGACACTGCCCCTTTAAGGCCGTGTCCCCAGACTTGTTGGGGACACGGCCCCTTTAAGACGGTGTCCCCTGTGTCCCCAGACCTGGTGCAAACCCTTTGTGCCTGCCTTGCTATTTCCCACTTGGTTCAGTAAATGGGAAATTATTTCAGCTGCAGAGACTAAGTCCCATTCGGCGATGGGACTTAGTCTTTTTTTCAGCCGTTTTTTTCAGCCTTATTTCAGCTGCAGAGACTAAGTCCCCGGCGATGGGACTTAGTCTTTTCTTCAGCCGTTTTTTTCAGCCTTATTTCAGCTGCAGAGACTAAGTCCCATTCGGCGATGGGACTTAGTGCGTTTTTTCAGCCTGAAATAGACCGACCTCACAGCCCAAATCTATGGAACTGTTTTGGGCAGGAAAATGTGCTTGCGGTCGGTCATAAAGGGACCTCCAGCTAACTTTTTAACCCCTGGATGGATTTGGCTGATTTTTGGTTATGTTTATGTTTTAAGTGTGCTGATTCCAAATATGTAATTATGAAGATAGGATGTGTAGTTTTAAAGTTACAGGGTATGGCTAAAAACTGTATTTTTACTGCCTGTGTTTAATTATGTTAATCTCTTCCCAAACGTCATTTCGTTCAAAGTGGAGAGAATGTTAAAAAAAAATATTTTTGTTCTGAGTGTGAGAAATGCTTTTCAGCCGCTTCTAATCTTAAGCATCATTTGAGGAGCCATACAGGAAAGAAACCTTATTTGTGGTGTGTTTAGTATTGTTCTGATCAGTTTAATACCTTCCGCGTCTCCTAGCAGTGGACGTGTATATGGCAGCCATTTTAGGAACGTACACCTGGGACCCGAGCAAGGTCACCTCGTTCAACATTTTAGGAACCGCATACCTGGGACCCGAGCAAGGTCACCTCGTTCAACAGGCGACAACATTTGTCCCTGGAAAACTATCCTGGACATTCTGTACAATTTGTATGGATATGGCAGTGATTTCTGTAACAGGGAGATGGAAGATGCTTGGTCGGTCCTCTTAATTCAAATTTGGGGCACTGCGCGGTCAAGCTAATGTGCCACCAGATAGGAGTGGTGTGTTTAGTATTGTTCTGATCAGTTTAATACCTTCCGCTCCTATCAGTGGTCACACGCATTGATTTTTGTAACAGGGAGATGGAAGAAGAGGCTTGGTCAGTCCCTTTACTGCAAATTTGGGGCACTGCGCTGTCAAGCTAACGTGACACCAGATAGGAGTGGTGTGTTTAGTATTGTTCTGATCAGTTTAATACCTTCCGCGTCTCCTATCAGTGGTCGTGTACACGGTATTGATTTTTGTAACAGGGAGATGGAAGAAGAGGCTTGGTCGGTCCTCTTACTGCAAATTTGGGGCACTGCGCGGTCAAGCTAATGTGACACCAGATAGGAGTGGAGTGTTTAGCACTATTTTTATCAGTTTAATACCTGTGTGAGAAATGCTTTTCAGCCGCTTCTAATCTTAAGCATCATTTGAGGAGCCATACAGGAGAGAAACCTTATTAGTGGTGTGTTTGGTATTGTTCTGATCAGTTTAATACCTTCCGCTGCTCCTATCAGTGGATCGCAGTATATGGCAGCCATTTTAGGGAACCGGTGATAATCTGGGACCCGGAAAGCAAGGTCACCTCGCTCAACAGGCTTACAACATTTGTCCCTGAAAAACTATCCTGACATTCTACAATTTGTATGGATATGGTAAGTGATTTCTGTACAGGGAGATAAGAAGATGTGCTTGGTCGGTCCTCTTAATTCAAATTTGGGCACTGCGCCGTCAAGCTAATGTGACACCAGATAGTAGTGGTGTGTTTAGTATTATTTTGATCAGTTTAATACCTTCCGCGTCTCCTATCAGTGGACGTGTACACGGCATTGATTTTTGTAACAGGGAGATGGAAGAAGAGGCTTGGTCGGTCCTCTTATTGCAAATTTGGGGCACTGCGCTGACAAGCTAATGTGACACCAGATAGGAGTGGTGTGTTTAGTACTATTTTTTATCAGTTTAATACCTTCCGCGTCTCCTATCAGTGGACGTGTACACGGCATTGATTTTTGTAACAGGGAGATGGAAGAAGAGGCTTGGTCGGTCCTTTTACTGCAAATTTGGGGCACTGCGCGGTCAAGCTAATGTGACACCAGATAGGAGTGGTGTGTTTAGTACTATT